CCTCTTCTCCCTCTCCCCCAGCTCTGTCACCCTCTCCTCAAACTCTGTCCCCCTCTCCCCCTGCTCTGTCACCCTCTGCCCCTCCAGGGCTCCCCACCCTGAGCCCACCATCCCTCGGGAATCACTCAGGGACCCCCGTGCCAAGAGGGACGGGGTAAGAAGGACAAAGCCTCGATTTTCAGCAGCTCTCATGAGGAGCTGCTCTCATGTGATGCTGCCACCAGCACCCGAGTCACACGGGCAGGGCACAAAGGAACATTTTCTGCCCGAGGTCCCATCGGGAAGAATCAGGGGTTTGTGTTTTCTGAGGACACAAACAAAAGCAGGAGGAGCCCTGAGCTCCCAGAAGAGCTCTGGGACACCCTTGGGTCTCCTTCCTGGGGACAGGAAGGACCTTGGGGATGAGGTCAAGGTCTGAGGAGCAGGGAGGAAGGGACACACACCCTGGGTTCACTTAGGGGGTGGTGCCTGAGATACCATCCTGGCTGGCTGGATAAGCAGGACAGGTGAGTTCCCAGGGCTGGAGCTGCCCCAGATTTATCACTGGGCCCAGGAATGACAGAATGGGTTGGGTTGGGAAAGACCTTCAAGACCCAATTGTTCCCCCAGCCCTGCCAAGGCCACCAGTGCCTCCTCAGCCACCACTGACTCCTCAGACCTGTTTTTTTTGTCACTTGATAGATGAGCTTTGGCCTCAGCACTCTCCATGCCAAGTGCTCCAAGGCTTTCTCTTGGACAGAGCGTGTTTCAAACCTCCCCAAGAATCTTGAAGGCAATTGTTAGATGCTCAGAAGCTTGGAATGGAGTAAGGGTGATGCCCTGACAAGGATGCCTGGCAGAAAGGAAAAGGCTTGTACCATCACAGGATCATTTGGGTTGGAAAAGACCTTTGAGACCCTCCGGCCCTGCCAAGGCCACCACTGCCCCATGTCCCTCAGCACCATCTCCAGGGCTTGGAAACCCCTCCAGGGATGGGGACTCTGCCTTGGGCAGCCTGGGCCAGGCCCTGACAGCCCTTGCCTGGAAGGAATTATTCCCAAGATCCAACCTAAACCAGGGCCTGACAACACTTTCCAGGGAGAAATCATTCCCAAGATCCAACTTCAACCTCCCCTGGAACAACATGAGGCCATTTCTTCTTGTCCCATCCCTTGCTCCTGGGGAGAAGAGACTGATTCCCCCTGGCTCCAACCTCCTCTCAGGGTGGAGCAGCACAGAGACCCTGCCTGGAGCTCCAGGGCTTCACAAGAAGAGCCAAGGATTTGTTTCCCCACATTCAGGCTCCAAGGAAGGTCCCCTCTCAAGGGTGAAGCCCATCAAGTCATTATTTGTTTGTCCTTTTCCCCATGGAGGGGGGTTTTCAGCCCCTGCCACCACCTGGGACATGGATTTGTTTCCTTTCATCTCTTGGGCAAAGAGAGGAACTCACAGCAGGATTCCTAAGGAGAAGACACGTGGCCACCCAAGGGTGGATCTTCCAGCCATGAAGACCTGGTTTCCCCTCCCTGTCTCCTTCTGGCAACAGCAAGAGGGAAAAAAAACTGGATAGGGTTGGTATCTTTTTCCCAGCCCAGGTGGAAGCTGATGGGGGTGAGCTCATCCTTTGGCTCTGGCGAGCAGGAATTCTGCTGGATTCCAGATGATCCCAGTGTTGGAATGAAGGAAAGTTCCTCAGCTCAGTCAACACTGATGCTGGAAGTGTCCCCAGTCATTGGTGAATCATGGAATGGTTTGGATTGGATGGGACCCAAAAGATCATCTTCAAGATGATCTAGATCCACCCCCCTGCATGGGCAGGGACACCTCCCACCAGCCCAGGCTGCTCCAAGCCCCATCCAACCTGCCCTTCAACACCCCCAGGGATGGGGCAGCCACAGCTTCCCTGGGCAACCTGGCCCAGGCTCTCACCACCCTCGCACCAAACAATTCCCTCATCTCCAACCTCAATCTCCCTCTTCTACTTCTCATCCATCCCCCTCATCCCATCCCTCCCTGCCCTTGTCCCAAGTCCCTCCCCAGCTTTCCTGGAGCCCCTTCAGGCACTGGAAGCTGCTCTAAGGTCTCCCTGGAGCCTTCTCTTCTCCAGGCTGAACACCCCAACTCTCCCAGCCTGGCTCCAGAGCAGAGCTGCTCCAGCCCTTGGATCACCTCCATGACCTCCTCCTCCAGGAATCCCTCTCCCAGCAGCTCAGGACATGGAACCAGTGCCCAGGGGCTGTGGCAGAGCTGGATTTCCAGTCCCTGAGGCTTCACCCACCATGAAGGGACAATTTCCTAGGAAAAATACCTGGCTCATCTCAACTGATTCCCTTCTCAGACCAATCTTCAATTCCCAGCTGCTTCTTTTGAGGCCAAGGATACAAATACCTGCTGGAAAAGGAGCAGCAAACCCTGGGAAGGGGACCAGCTGAATTTGCTGGTCAAAAAAACACCCTGTCAAAATTAAATTAATTAAGAAATTAATTAATAATTCATTTGCAGCATTGAAAGGGAGGGGCTGCCACTTCACTCCAGCCCTGTCCACACTCAGGCTCTGGTCCACCAGGATATTTCCAGGCTCCCAGTAGAAGGAAATGGGAATTCCAAGCCTGGATTTTTTTGCCTGGGATGGAGTGGGAGCTCCAGGGAATCCATCAGAGGCCACAAACTGCTGGAGGAGGAGGGGGGGGAAGGAACCAAAGGGACACCAAGAGATCTAAAAACATGATGTCACCTCCTGTGAAATGCCACCCAGAGCTCCCAGGGCAGTGTCACCACGAGAGGGAGACCTGCTGCTGCCACAGCTGCAGGCAGCACCACAAAGCAGGCAGGAGCTGCTTCACTGGTTTCAGCAGATGTTGCCCTTGTTCTGCCCCAATTTTAGCTCTGAACTCCCCCCCTCCCACCCCCCATCTCAGCCCCCTGCAAGGACCACCCCAAGGTAGAGTAGCAAAATGATTTATTCTCATTTCCTCTGGTTGGAGAGATCAGTTATGTACAGGAACTGTAAAAAAAACCAAACAAAACCACCTCCAGAGCCTTCTAAGAGCAATTAGATGCTGCTGGGAAAGAAAATCACGGGTACTGGAAGGAACTGGGAGTCAAGTTCACTTTGATTGGGGGGGAAAAGGAGCCTTCGAGGGGGTTTTTCTCCTCCTCAAATATCCTTGATGACCTCCTCAAGCTCCTCCTTCGTGTACATGTGGAATTTCAGCCCAGGTTCCACCGTGGCCAACTGCAAGAGAAGGAGCAGGGGTTCAGTAAGGCCTGGAGGGGTGAGGCGACAGAGGGGCAGGGGACAGAGAGGGGGACAGAGAGAGGGGGGCAGCCAGGAGAAGGGCAGGGGACAGGGATGGGCAGAGAGGGGCAGGTGGCAGCATGGAGGGGAGCAGAGAGGGGCAGGGGGCAGCATGGAGAGGGGCAGAGAGGGGCAGGGGGGGGCGGGGAGAGG